AGATAACCGAAAGACGAGTACCTACCGTTAGAACTGCCATGATTGTAACGTTGTGCAACTCGGCCGACAATAACTTTTATTGGGATCAGATCCCGTGCCAAGGTCGGAACGCCTACCCTGCAACAATCTGCCCTATTTATTTTTGATCTATATGTTTTGTCAAGTTGTGGCAACTCCTGCCGAATCATCTGAAATGCTTTTGAATATTGTTATTATCCCCCAGGCCTGCCTGGGGTGTGAATTATTCGGGGGGAAAAATAGTATGTGGGCTGGATAATTGATTGCCGGCCGATATTTCAAAATGCTACCCATTTGATCCAAACCGAAATATCTACAAGAAGATATTTCTACCTCATTTATTTACTGCGGCACATTAAATATTACTATAACATCGAGTTAATTAAATTATTAGTTGGACCATTAAACAGATTTGACTGAGTGTGGGTGTTCGATCAGACCGGTATCGACTTAATAAACTTCACTCTTTCTCAAATGATATACTACCAAATTTACGGGTTCTGTTTAGTTAATTATCATTATAAATATTTTTCATCTTGAAAATATAGTCACAGCATGGATTCACAAAAACTTATAAATTATAGCAAAGAAATTTAACATTACGAAAGTACGCAATATTTAAACATTTATATGTACATATTATGAAATATACAAAGAAACAAAAATTGTACAAAGTCAGAGTTTATTAAAATTCTAAATATTATTATTAAATTGTAAGAACCCTTTATTTAAAGAACAAAGTGGGAAGGATTTCTGAACCTAAGAAAGCCACTAAACTCCGTTTTACCCTTTTCTCTGAACAAAATACATACATGCATTATATTTCGTGTTCTGATTGACCAAATAACTTCTTTCAATTAATTAATATTTTTATGTAAGGTATTGGTTGAAATGAAACAGTTAGTGACCCGCTCATGACACTAACTTTTTAATGTTTGTTGTGCGATCAACCAGCTTTCATACGATGTTGATTGGGATTCGGGTTGTGGTCTTCAAACATAAAATGTTANTAACAATTACTCAATAAATAATATTCTTTTTGTACATAAATATCACAGGCGTTTAACTAGAAAATTGTGTTTATCACGTTATCAGGTGGGAGGTTCCCCACACTATCACCTAATGATAACAATCATTTACCACAATTTTTAAAAACAAGATTTTAATTTCTAATACATTGGTAATTCTATGTTATCACAGCATGTTATAATTTATAACTAAATAAATATGTATGCAAGTATTGTTACGATCTTTTGGGAGAGACCTTATCTTTTTCTAGGATCCCACTGTACATCACACGTAAATTATTCAAATCTGTTTTTAAATTACAGGCCATGTTGTCCTGATGAATAGATATCATTTCCCTCAAAAGTTTACGACCTGTATTTTGTTCAGAAGCCACAATTTTGACTCCATCGAAGTCAAAATTATGTTTCTTAGCGTGTGTATGTTTGGATAGTGCTGTTCCCGGCATTTCTTCATCATTGCAATCATACTTATGTTGCCGCACCCGTTCGGATAACTTTTTACTTAAACCTTACATAAAAAGATAAATTAATTGAAAAAATTCATACAATTGTACCCTGGGTTCAGTTTCCCACACAAGGGACTTTATCGAAAAACGTTTTTCCTCATTTATATTTTGGTAAATCTGGTAAAACGAGATTTAAAATAAAGACCCCCAACTAAAACCCCAAATAAATGTAAACTAATAAAAACCATGCTCCAAAATAAACCAATTTATATACGCAATTTATCTATTTAATCAGATCTGTGTCACAAACGTTTACCTGATAATTGGAAGAATTTTAAAATCATAATGTTACAAAAAACTGGACCCTGTAGATCCCTTCAGCTACTGTCCTAACATCAGTTGGCTTAGCGCCTTAAGTAAAATATCTGAAAATGTCATTGATTTCAGAATAAGGAAACACTTGGATTTCAGGTGATATTTGAACAACAGTTAGGCTTCGGGCTTTCATGTGACTCAAGCCCAACTATCCAGACTGATCCGACCATATTACATAAAGCATTTGACACTGTATGGTACATTAACTTTACACTATAAAATTATAAACACGGATTCCCACAGTATATAGACAGCATAGATATGTACCCAGACGGCGAAAATTCATTGTAAAAATGGAAGATATGTTGGATCAAGGGCTTGTAACGTAGCTACCGGTGACCCACATGGTTCTGTCCCAGGACCCTCGCTATTTATAATTTATATCGATGAATTGTCGAAGTTCCTAGGTTAGAATTGGCACTTTTTGCGATTGTCACCGCACTCATCAAATCATCCTGGAGAGGCTGTGCAATCTATGTAAATAGAGTGGCGCAGAGATTGTTGAAAGATACAAAGAAGAAAATCATTCACTATTGCTCATAAAAAGTAATCCATGTAGGACCAAGTAGTTGTATTCAGAAAGGAAAAATGGAGTAGACTCCCGTAATAAATTACCTTGAGGTGTGGTTTGACTCCAAATAAAACTTCACAACCCGTATTAACCAGCTCATTACAAAGTGTAAAATTTATATTCAAATTTGTGGTGAAAAGTGACCGTTACTTGGTTATTTGGAGGTCGTGAGGCGGTCTGGTTTTTTTAAAAACATTTTCTTTATCGTGCCAACGTTTCGATCTTTATAGAGATCATCTTCAGGGCCTGGGATTTATAAACATTGTTTAAATTTAACAAATACTTGTAGGATGTGGAAAAAATGAATTTATACAATGCGAGAAAATTTTTGATTAAAAAAAATAATTTATACAAGGCTAGAAAATTTTAGATTAAAAAAATGAATTTATAAAATGCTAGAAAATTTTAGATTCAATCAAAGTATTTGTACTCACTCAGAGTGTTTGTTTTCCGTGTCTGGAAGGCTTCCTTTCTCCTCAAAGAAGCCGACTCCTCATACAAAATATTCTTGTATTCCCGAATTCTCTCCCCACCCCTTCAAAATCCATCTATTCCAAATTTTCTAGCGTGGTATAAATATATTTCTCTTTTTTAATCTAAAATTTTCTAGCATTGTATAAATTCATTTTTTTAAACCTTAAATTTTCTAGCATTCTATAAATTCATTTCTTTTTTTAATCTAAAATTTTCTAGCATTGTAAAAATTTATTTTTTTTAATCTAAAATTTTCTAGCCTTGTATAAATTATTTTTTTTAATCAAAAATTTTCTAGCATTGTATAAATTCATTTTTTTCACATCCTACATGTATTTGTAAAATTTAAACAATGTTTATAAATCCCAGGCCTGAAGATGATCTCAATAAAGATGGAAACGTTGGCACGATAAAGAAAATGTTTTTCTAAAGCCTACAACACACCAGACCGCATCTCACGACCTCCAAATAATTATATTCAAATAGTATTCCACTACTATGTCGATTCTGGTTTATAATTACTTACGCATCGGGCTGCACCAGTAAAAGAAATTGCAAAAACCTACAAAGTAATTAATTAACAAGGTTTGACGACTGTATAATTAACAGCACTCCCACTACTAAGTTTGATACAACACATCAAAGTTCTTCGATCCGATATATTCAAGAATTGATATATATAATTATTAAAACATTTTTGAACGTTAAAATCATCTAATAAGTGGTTTGGGTCAAGAACCGCTTAGGGGGTGTAAGAAAAGCATGAAACACTCCGGGATCTCATCGAGAGGGTTGTGAGCCTAGTACAGACTACTTTCCTGAGAAGAATTTTTATTTTTAATTTGCCCCTTGAGATTTGATATTTTTCAATACCAAATAAATACTAATGTGGCAAAACAATGGCGGTAAATAAAAGTGTTCTCCGGTCAGGGGTGATAGGCATGTGTATATTTGACTGTAAATAAGAACTCGTTTATTTGCAAACAATTATTACAAGAAATAAAGGTTCAGAGGAAATCCTTTGATTAGCTTTCAGTCGATAATACGGTATTGTCTCAGCACTAATCAGCTTGTCTTGAACATTCTGAAAGTCTAGATTCACAAGGAAGCACTGATCTCACATCGTTAATATCATACGATTTTATAAAAAATAGGAGTAACAACGTCAGAAATATGGATTATATACAGTAAGCATAAATAAGTCTTAAAAATTTACAAACTTCACACGTAATTAAACTTTATTACTGAATTTCACTGCATTACATATGAATAGTTTTTGTCATAAGCATTTGACTGTAAATAAGAAATTGTTTATTTATTTTTTTTATATTGTTTATTTATTATTGTCTTATTTATCAAGTTTGTGCGCGTCGAGTATTCACAAACAAAAAACCGGTTACTCGTATTTTGTTCAATTCTTAATTTCACGCTATATGTATTTTTATCATTGTATTAATTACAACCTACTTATTTTAATGTTTACCCGAGGAAATGAGATAGGAAATTCATGGGTTTAAAAAAAAATTGTTTCATTGTATTGTGTCAAAGCAAGTTCATCAAAACGCGGGAAAATCATGTTCTGTAACAATTTCTTCTTATTTAAACAATTTTTATTAAAATACGTAAATTTCTGATTTCGTGTACATTAAAATAATTATATTGTAATAATTATAACTATAAAAACACATCCCTACACTTAGGTTCAAATAAATAACAAAAGACGAGAGCCCGGTTTTTATATTTGAATGTACATTTTCCAGTACCTTTTATCACTCAAATTGCACTTAAACCATGTCGAAAAATGAAAGTCGAAGGAAATCACTTGCACAAGTAATACTTGATGGAGTATGAAAATTTGGGCCTAGGTCCAAAACTATTGACTGATTGTTTTTACTTATCCGTAATCACAAGCTCAATATTAATTGAACAAACAGCAAAAAACATTCAATTTTTGAGAGATAATACACTTAGTACTTCCACCCTTCAGTTTTTGTTCTGTATTTCAAGAAAAAGATTCTCTTTATGATGAAAATATTAAAACGTAAAAAGAATTACCAATTATGGCATCATGACGTTTTGCCAAATATCTAAATTAAATTTAAATGAATTCTGCTGGTATACCATGTCTTGCTTCAAATTTATTATAAATGAAAAATTATTCTTGTAGCCAAAGCTTTTTATAAAATAGGTAAGTCCAGCCTATAAAAGAATAATCACATTAGAACAAAATTTTAAGAAATCATATGGTTTTTTTTTAAAGTCTAACCTAATTGTTAATGAAAGAAAGTGGGATGTTTACCTTTCGGTAAGTGAAGTAAACGGATCTACATGTTTCCGTATTTTGGCTTCTTCTCCTCGGATGCCACGATGTTTTGTATGATCCTCTGGACAAAGGGGATGCACCTGCCGTCGCCTGTGATGCAAGACGTGTCGTAGGGAGGACTGACGACGACCTCGTGCAGCACCAGGATGTTCGCCCCGCGCCAAGAGACGTCGTCGATGAGCCTTTTGAGGGATTTGAAGAGGAGGACGCCCCTCGGTGAAGATCCTCTCCGGATGGTGTAGCCGCACTTCTGGTCGTTTTCAGGTAGGAGGAGGCAGAGGTCGAGCTCCTTGGCCAGCTTGTTCCCGTTGACACTCTTCAAGATGGCGCTTTTGGCGAAGTTCAGGTCTAGGACGCAGAAGTTGCCGTACTTTGGGATTTTGGATGTGTTCTTGAGCACCATCAGCCCGGTGTTCCAGTCGAAATTCTCCACCGCCCCTTTGATCGTTTCGTTCTCCATGCTGACCACCTCGATCACATCCCCGATTGTAAAATGCTCCTCGTTCTCTGACATTGTTTCAAGATTTGATTTTTTTCTCCGCAACAACGATATTTGCCGTTACATACACATGGTTACGCGCCTACCACATGATTAAAATACTATTTTTCATTGGAAATCATAAACGGGAACAAAAGGAATTTGATTTACTGGATAATTTTGCCTAAACTTCCAACGAGCAATGTCACCTTCCGGCCGGAAGGCCGACACAATGATTGAAAAATAATAAGGTAAACAATATAAATTCCACTCAAGTTACCTTCACGTCTTCTCGTTCATACTCTACTGAAAAATGAATTCCGCCACGCCATCTGTAAAAATTAAATGTGATCTTATAATTTAATTTCTTTAATATATTTAAAAATCAAAAAATCATTGTCATTACCTTAAATATGGCTGCCGAAAGATCAAACAAGTTACGATACAGTAACCTCAGTTTTTAAAAACACAAAGTACCCCGGACAAACCGGTATCTCATCACAAGTCACTAAGATATAAAATTCTGTTGGATAAACTTAAGGCCAACTGTAAGGTTACCAAAGGGCTGTACAGATGGGCGGTCAGTCGATATCTTATCTCAGAGAGACTTATAAGCCGATAAGTATGCTTAATGAATGGCGAAAGTTCATTTATCTTTTGATTTAAAATGGCCAAGCGGGAAAACCTATGAACGACAAAGGTCATTCACTAGATTATATCAAACAAAATATCACGTAAATCTGTATGGAAAAATCGTTCGGTATAGTTGTTACAATCAAATGCAGATGATCTTGCCGAGAATTTGAAAATTTCACACAAACATATGTTTAATGAGGTTTACAACATAAAATTTTTAACATATAGTTTGATAGACTTGAGCCGATCCGTGCAAGTAATTTTTACGATTTGCGCTTTATATTTCACATTTCGTATAAATTTGTGTGGTGATTAGTGACCGTTAATCGATAATTATTCAGAAATCGTGAGATCCGGTCTGGTTTGATGTAGGCACTCTCAACACGCAAGACTGGCTCAATTACACAGAAGACAAACACTTTGAGCCCTGAAGATGATCTCAATAAAGATCAAAACGTTGACACGATAAAGAAACTGTTTTTCTGAAACCTACATCACACCAGACCGCATCTCACGATTTCTGAATAATTATTCGTTTAAATTTGTAATCCATGACTAAACCTTTTAACTATCACCACCATGATGTTGAAATAACAACAATTTGTTTGAATTTTATTGTCATTATAATATTTTTTAATTTATGACTTCCCTGTCATTCTGTATATTTTACTTCATACCCATCCTAGATGGCAAGTCTCTAACCATAGGTTTATAAGTATTTTAATAAAAATTAATGACTAAAATCAATCACAGCATGAGAGATTCAATTCAAAAATCATAGATGATGGATACTTTATGTCAATTTTAATTGAAGGTGTATAAATATTAAAGTATGTAAATACTGGTAGAGTGTAATTTTCCTGTCATGGTCTGGTTGTAACCGCGTTCTGTACAGTTTCTTAACGCGAATTAATATTTTTCAAATTCTCTTTAATAAAAGTTAATTGTAGGGTTAAAAATATCAATTTTTTGAAATGCGTATTTCATAAAGCGTGTGTAGTGTAATTTGTATGTAAGTTGTCAAATAGCTCAATGTAATGAAGCATTACATGAATATTGACTATTTACAATCATTGAACTAATATTTCAGATCGATAAATAGGCATTTTACTGTTATTTTAAAGATTTCCTTTCTACACATAATAATTCTCGATAGGACAAAACTAGAGAAAGACAGTTTATTAGTTAAACTGAGTCAAAGTTATTAATTGTTAAAAGCATAACATTAAATATGCGCCGTATTAGGCTTATTATTATTTAAAAAGTGATACGGTTGTTATGTAAAAAAGACTCTAAAACTCAATAAAAAAAAATTGTGCAACTCCTTTAATTGCGATCCTACCCAGTGTGTACATAACTGATCGTTTAATGGCACGATGCCACTCTCTTGGCTGAATGCGATGGTAGGCACATAAAAAAGTCCGCTTTTATGAATACTTAAATAAGTCCGCCGGCCGTTTTGAAAAGGACTTGGGCCTGGATCGGGTTTTATACGTTCGGAACGGACACCTTATCAAAAAGGCGGAATTGGTAGGGAAAATTTATAAAACGCTAAATGTTCGGCCGTCGATTTATTCAACGACGGTTTATTCTCAAAGGTGTTTTTGTGTCGACGATACTCGCACAGATCGCATAAAACCTTTAAAAAATTTCATTCTCAATTCACCATATAAACAAATGTAAGAAGTAGCTTTCTCACAACAATTCAAAACTATAACAACACTAACAAAAATTTGTTCGAAGACAAATTGTGAAAAATTGAATTGTATCGTCTTCACCGAGCACAGAAAGTGCCACCAACTTGAAATGGATTTATTGAAAAATTATTAAAGAATTTCTCTGATGACTAAAAAATCATAACATTGCTTAAGTACATCCACCAATTCAGGTGGATAGCTGACAGTAAAATCCTGAAAATTGACCCGAAAATTGTTCATGGTTTCATGATTTATCTCATAGTTTTTTCAAAACTTTAGACAAAGCTCTGTGACTAACCTATCCTGCGTGCTGTAAGTGCTGTCACCCGAACTTAAGAAATAGCAGCATACCCCCTTTTTTTATATTCTTTAGGTGCCAGTAAAGCTAAAAATATTGGAGCGCATGCGAAGTGGACGCGACCTCTAGGAATCGGCTTAGACGCAGACTTAGAGAGGACTAATAGACACTGGTTGCTGTACTCGAGCCGGGGAAATTGGCCGATCCATCCATGGGTACTTCCGGCCGTCCTCTTTAAAAATGACCTCCACCTGATTGAGATTGCCTTCGCTCCAGAGCTGATCGAAAGAATTAACACACTTTGAGCAATGAACGAACTAGAGGTAGCTCTTATATCAACATCATTCCGATACCAACCCTTCAGAGATTGACGCTCGATTTTAAATTTTGTCTTTACCACCTGTCAGTATCTTGAGAAGTGACATCACCACCCGCTCAAGACGCTCTTAACTCTAGCGGCTCTCTGCTCCAAATCATCGCTTTCCTGATTCACCTTTCCAGGTCGGCCGGAGTCTGCCTTTTTACGGCGTTCAGTTTGGTTTGCATTCATATGATGGGATCTGTGTGTGAGGAAGATGTAGAGAACAATTTGCTTCATTGTCCTTGCATGAGTCACAGCATGTTCAAAAGTAAATTATGGGATGGGGTAGAATCAACGTCCAAGCGCGAACCGAACTGATTATCATATAAAATGTACCTGCGACTGCATTACAGTACATTGAAGAAATTCTTCTGGAAACTTTGGTCCCCTTCGCTCCATTTTTGGACCAACTTCGGGTTAATGGAGGATAATACTCGACTGCATGTAGCTCGAACTGTCACGCATTATTTGGAGGATTAGGGGGTTACGACGAAGAATTGGCCAGTACGTTCTCTTGAAATGAATCATCATCTTCAATCACCTTCAAACCGCTCTTGTTGAACCTTGGGGTTTTGTTTAACAAGGCGAAATTCGGTCTCTTATTTAATACAGGTCTAGGAGACTTAAAGGCTCCCCGCGAAGCCTTAGAAGGTAATAGGCGTTATTAATTAATTTTTTTTTACGTGGGTTAGCCACAGCAGAGGTCATATCAGGTTTCAAATGGCGTCGAGAATCCAATCCGATTGCACGACATTTGAAAAATGGCAAAAAGGAGGGAAAATTCAAAAGGTGGGGGTAGAGATGGGAAGTAGTGTCCAAGTGGATCGAGGTCACGATGGCTCAAGTGGTAGAGCAGCGGCGTATCTAGCCGAAGATCGTGGGTTCGAATCCCGCTCGTGCCATTGACTTTTGTATCTCAACTAAAAACCTTAATTGATTTTTATTAAAACTCATGAATTCCTGATCTCATTTAATTTGGTTTATATTAAAATGTGAAGGTTGTTATAGATAAAAATACATACAGTTTAAAATAAACAACAAAATACAAGCGTCTTTTTTTTCTTGTTTTGAGTGTATAACATTCAAAGTAAAAAATAGAAGTTATATGTAACAACAAAACAAATTTATCAACATAATAACATTAGAGTAAAATTCAATGACAACTTACTTTCTTTTAACGTAATAAAAGAATTTCGAACCCTTGAAACTTATTAATCAATAAAATTAGTTTGGTTTTTTCACTCAATTATAACAATTTTTTAAGTTGAGTTTTGCTGAGTAACTCGGTGGAAGTTTGCATGCAACAACGGACAATTAATGACAATTAATTGTCATTTTTAATTGAGTCGTAACTTGTTTGTTTCTTCGTGTCTACTCTACATGTGGTATTTAAAAGGAGAAAATTACAAAAGCTTATAGGGGAGAGGAGGAAAATCTGTTAAATGATCACGACTAATCGAATAAGCAAAGCTGGTCCCGACAAATATCGGCAATTGTCGAGCGCATTCATCCATCTAATTTCACTACTGGCAAGTGTAGCATTATGCCTGTACGGTATCTAATTTATTTTTGCGTCGTTGATTTAGAATTAGATGCGTGGTATTAATTGTTCGTGAAGTACTACAAGTTTATCCAATTCTATGAATTCAATTTTGATACGCAACGGAAAAGAGAAGGGCCACTGATAAAGTGAAGTGGCAAAGTTTTTTCAACTCGTCAATCAGCTGTTACTTCAGCCATTAAGTATTGGAATACAGTTTTAAAACATTTTTGAATTATTCTGAAAATATTCGATATTTTTCCAATGCATATTGCACCAACCATTCACAGTTCGGTCAGTTACATTTAGAGTCTCGCAAGGAAGTATCCTAGGGCCTTTTTTTTATTCACTACATTTCATCACCCCTTAACACTTACGTACCCACACATGACATCATCAAAGTAAGAAATGATGAAATCCGTCTTCTCGAAACTGAGTATTATTGAAAAATCAAAATGAGGGCTGAATCAGAGAGCACGCGTCATGACACAAGCATATTTCTGCCCATTTCTTCAATATCAAGCTCAATAGATCAATAAGCAAGATGGGAATTACAAAGGAAAAGGTAATCTGAAGTCTTTGCTGATGGAGCCCGAGAACCATGCATAGAAGCTGATTTCTATATAACCCAGATAATAAAGGATCACGGACAATAAGTGCCTACTTACACCGATTTCACAGTCCATTGTGTCTTGACTGCCAAATCGAGGGTAGAGTACATTACAAATAATTAAACTGCCCGTTTATATCAATTCTAGCCAACCTTCAAAACTCCCCTTCGGGGTCGGGAGTGTCAGCGGATCTGAAGTTTCACAGATCATATATGTAGGGTGGGGAATGGGAAGATTCTAAACGCGGTAGAGAAAGGTGCCGAGGAAGTGTACCTGCAGTACGAAGGATATAACCGCTTTAAGTCAATGATGAGATCAGTCACGTCCTTGAGAAGTTCAAGGTAAAACGTACAAAACAATGTATTCCAAGTTTAAAGCTTATCTTCAAGCCCGACGGGTCTCCGTCATAACACATCCGTAATTAAAGCGGGGGTGAAGGGGGAGAAAAAGGGACAAAACTAGGAATTTACGAGTACTAAAGAGGAGAAATTTGTGGATCGGACGAACCTGTTAGCGAGAGGAAAAGCAGTGGAAATTTGTGGTATCCCGGAAGAGATCTGATCAAAGACAATCTCGGAAAAAAATTTCCCAGGAGCTAATTGAGGTTGACAGTTTCAATGCAGGTAGAGAGGAGAGGAAATTTGGGAGTCATC